CCTTCTTGGTACAATTTATCCTTTGCTATTTTAAATATTCCCTAATATATAGACTGTAAAATACTTTTGTCTAGGGAGCTGAAAATTAAGTTAGTAGGAGCAAATAATGACTTCATTAGCACTGATCATAGGAGCTAATCCCACTCTCTGCAAGGAGTGTGAATTCTCTAGAACAGTGTTTCTCAACCTTGGCAACTTTAAGATATGTGGACTTCAATTCCACATATCTTAAAGTTGCCAAGGTTGAGAAACACTGCTCTAGAATATTCAGTTGCCACAATTCTGCAAGGTTAATGCAATCAAATAAACCAGCGTCATCCTTTAGTTGGTTTCTCTAAAGCCCATTAGCAAACATGGAACCTCAGGGTTAAGAAGCTACAACCCAAATGCTTACACTTCCCTATAATTATGCACTCTTGCAACAGCTGTTTTATGTAAGAAAACCAATGCTTACCCTCAACATTTGGATCCCCTCTTCTGATTTTGGGAAGAAAATTTCTCCAAAGCTAGATAGCTTAAGTTCTTCCTCAGATTCAGCACACGATCTAGAAGAACCTATACCATTTTTTTAGTGTCAGTTTGACACATTAAAAAATGGTTTTTAAGTTCGCATGAATTTTGGCTCAACAGTACCTCAGTCTGCCCTCAGTGCTCTACTGCAGCTTATGCCTGCTATTATTTGAAACAGGCTATTATTTAAAAGTTGGGGCATCTAGTACAGTCATAATTACAAGCAATCCTAGTGTTGTTCTTCCAAAGATAAACTTCTAAATCCCAGCAGATTTATGAGGAAGAATTCTCAGAATTACTCACCACATTTTGGAATAGGTACAACTTAATTCCATCTCACTTAATTACCTACTGGCAAGTAATCTGTGCAAATAGCCTATTTGCATCATTATTTCTAATTCTAACCTTACTCATGTCTCATATTATGTCTTGCATGAGTCATCTTCCGGTCTTTTTATTGAATATTAACTGGTCTCTAAAATATTAAAACATTGCCCTATCTTTATCTACTTCCAGCTTTTTCTACAGAATGGATCTAGGATTTATTCACTTGGACACATACAGAGTATGATTAAACACAATTGATTTTTTTTTAATGACAAAAAATCCAAAGACATCTTAAAGTATAAACATGCCAGCATAAAATAATTAGGGCAATAAAGTAACAAATCATCAACATACTAAAAAAACTCACCTCAATTTACTTCTTTTTGAAACACACAAATATTCAGGCTAGATTTTTTAAAATGCTTGGTTGACCACACATCTATTTTTAATCAATTAATTCTCTAGTGTATATGTGCAATAGAAAGATGGAAGTGTCATGGAACAAATAAAATGGCAACCTTTAGCCTAAAATATTCTAGAACGGGAATCAGCTGCATGTGAGTGTGCTCCAGGCAACACGCTCACCTTTAAACTGCTGGGAAGCCTTCATGTGTGATGGAAGCTCCCCAAATGGGATATCCCACTCTCTCTAGCAGTCTCCCTGTCAGCAGATCAGCAAGCTGTCAGGAAGCATAGAAAAAATACAAATGGCTTCCTGGTGCCAAACATTGCTGGAAGGTCACAGTGAGGAAGGAGGAAGCCTTGTTGCTTCCTTTCAGCAGTTTTAGTAAGTGGGGGTGGGAGAGGGAGTAGAGGGGGAAAAAAAATAAGCCTGAAATTAAAGGCATTCTTGCTGCCGGTGTAAGCCAATTTGCAAGTGACTAAAGATTTCATTACACGCAAGAACCGTTTTGGCACTTAGTTTTAATTGCCAATGAATATGATAAACCAAGCCTATTAATAGCATCAGTTTAAACAATGTTTGTACGTGATCATATAGGCAGAGTGCAGTGAGATGCTGGGCTGTACTGCCCCAAATATATTCATGAATAAAGACTTTTTTCCTTTTCAATGTATCAAATTCCTAAGCTGAATTGCAAAGTACCTTCAGTAAATCACAAATTCTTTTCTCCAGAACTTAAGCAACAACATGACTCCGTACTTTCTGTTGTATAATGTTTTTGCTAAAGTATTTACTTTTATTTATTGAAAAAATACCCAAACCAAAAAAAAAAGCCTAATAGAATACATGAATAAAGATGAATAAAACCTTTGAACCAAAGACTCTAATATTGTTCAATTTTACAATTCTAAAATACAACAAAAAATGATGTTGGGAAGAAGAAAGGGAAAAGCAAATTTGGATACTGGTTCTTCGATTTAGATGTCTTACAGATTTTTTTCTGACAGGTTGGGGAAAACAAGCATCTTGTAGCTGTTCCTTCTCTTGGGCTAGTCTAGGCTTCCCTTTCTGTTTAATACTTCTTGAGTTTGAACTCCAGGGTAATAATTGTGTGCGGGTTTTTTTGTTTTTTCCTGAATTATTCCCTGTTTGCATTTATTTAGGACAATGGAGCATTGTTTTCACATGTGTGACCGAATGATGATCTATATCTTCATTGCAGCATCGTATGCACCATGGTAAGGATTAAAATATGTACGTTTGGGTAGGAAAAAATCGTAATGCCATAGCTTCCATTTGAAGGATAAGTTGACTAATTGCTCCTAATCTGATGGGGACATAAGCAATAGAATAAAATTCATTTTCCATTTGATAAACTAAGTGTGGTTGGGGGGCGAGGTATGGTTTGTTGCAGACTGTCCCCCAAAAGACTGTACCACAGCTGTAGCTCTGAATGTGAGGCAACAATATTCTGTGGTGATGATCTTATACTTTATTGTTTTCAGAGAACTGAAATAATTTTAATAGAAAATGAGTGTTACAGAAGCCAGTGTGCACATTTTTATTACAGTTTTATGAAGCTGTAAGCTAATTTTAGTTTTCAGTGTAATAGGAATTAATAAATTAAAATTAAAATGTACTTTGCTATCAAGACTAAGTTTTTCAATTCACTGTTTAATGTAAGTACAGGTAGTCCCTCGGTTGAGAATGCCCAGTTTATTTATTTATTTATTTATTT